CATTCATTATCTTATCTGTATAAGTGGATTATTGGTGTTTAACTTGTCTACCAAGGAACCCATTCATATTGGATAGATAAAATTTCCCATCAAACTCTGAAGTCACTTGCAATTCAAATCCTGGGCTAAAATTATTATTCTTAAGTTAGCAAAAGCATGATGGGATGAAATCCTCTCTCCTAATTTGTAATGTTTTGTTTCATTAGTTTAATATATATTCAGCAATTTATTAATTTATACAAAGTTTTTTACTCTTTACCTTGCTCTAGTAAAGTTTATGTTTTTTCTCCAATTGAGTTGACACAGATATTGGTGATAACTGACCATATGTTTATCTGCTGTTCTGTTGTGTTTTTTTAAATTCTAGGGCAATGTTTGAAGTCAACATGAAAGAAAGAGATGACGGAAGTGTTACTATTAGTAATTTATCACCCAAGGCAGTAAAGGCTTTCCTAGATTATGCCTACACTGGAAGAACTGAGATAACAAATGATAATGTAGAAATGTTCTTTCAGCTATCATCCTTTCTTCAAGTTTCACGCCTGTCAAAAGCTTGCAGTGACTTTCTAATTAAGAACATAGATCTTGTAAATTGTTTGCAATTGCTGTCCATTTCTGAAAGTTACGGATCCACGCAGTTGTTCAACCGTACACTCGAATACGCACGCCAGCATTTTTCCTTGTTGCTCCAGTCAGCTGATTTCTTGGAAATGCATTTTGAGATATTGCAGAAGTGCCTAGAAGCTGATGAGCTGAATGTCCCTGATGAGGAGTCTGTGTTGAAGGCTGTCTTTTGGTGGACAAAGCATAACTTGGAAACAAGACTGAAACGCCTTCCTCAGTTGATGAAAAAAGTAAGGTTACACCAGTTATCTGAGAAGACACTGCAAGATGTCTTGCAGTCTGAAACACAGTTACTCAAAAGCACTGGCTGCTCAATATTAATCAAGGAGGCTATTAAAAATGTGCAGGATTTCAGTGGGCTGTTTGTAGATGCTCGTCCTTCTACAACAGAGAAGTATATATTGGTTCACAAAAATGAAGAAAATGGGGTACACAGGCATACATTCTGCTATAATATTAAAACTGATCAGTGGAAGGAACTGGCACACACAAACATAACTGATCTGCCAGGATCCAGTTTATGTAGCTATGGTGAAAAATTAATTATAACAGGTGGATGTAAAGGAAACTGTTTTCGGACTATTAGACTACATATTGGTGAGACATTTCATGATGCTACCAACCAAACGTGGTGTTACTGCCCAGCAAATGATAGCTTGTCGTTAGTTTCACCCATGAAGAAGCCAAGGACAATGCATACATCTGTTGTGACTCTAAATCAATTGTTTGTGATAGGAGGAAAGACAAGGGCATCTCAGGAAATCAAAAGTCTATTGGATGTTGAGGCATATAGCCCTCTCTCTAGAGAATGGAAATCTGTGAGTCCTTTACCAAGGGGAATCTACTATCCAGAAGCTAGTGCCTGTCAGGATATAATTTATGTGCTTGGTTCTGAAGTAGAAATTACTGATGCCTTTAATCCATCTCTTGATTGTTTCTTTAAATACAATGCCGCAGCTGATCAATGGTCTGAGCTGGTAGCGGAATTTGGACAGTTCTTTCATGCGACATTAATCAAAGCTGTTCCAGTGAACTGCACATTATACATATGTGACCTTTCCACCTACAAGGTTTATAGTTTCTGTCCAGTGACCTGTGTTTGGAAAGGGGAAGGTTCATTTGAATGTGCCGGTTTTAATGCAGGAGCAGTTGGGATAGAAGATAAAATTTATATCCTTGGTGGTGATTATGCTCCTGATGAAATCACTGACGAAGTACAAGTCTATCATAGCAGTAGATCTGAATGGGAAGAGGTTTCACCCATGCCAAGAGCCCTGACTGAATTCCATTGCCAGGTGATTCAGTTTAATAAATACAGGGACCCATGGCTTGCAATAGAGATATGAAAGGAAGTTTCAATTGTAAGCAATGGCACAAGTATTATTTTTTTACTTTGAAGGCAATGCACATGGAAACACAATCCACCAAACACAAATTCTGCTTTTTGCATCCTTCATTATATATTATAATACCTCTTTCTGAACGTGAGTAAGAAGAATTCACATTTTTCAAAGGATTGATCATGATTTGGAGAATAGTCCTCAAGTGTTTGATACTGAGTGTTACTGTAGTAATTTCTACAGTCAGCAAATCTTCCTGGATTGTATCTTACATGTTCAAATGTAATTGTGCCCACTTTTTGGTTGATACATAAGCAGTATTATATGATTTGGTGGACTTTTACATTAACATAGTTTTAGGACAGAATAATATTGAATCAGTATTCTAGTGTACATACTTTAGATACAGATATTTATTTATTTGATGTCCTGAGATGGAATTCAAGGAGGTTTACAATAATCTTTAAAACATTTGACTAAGACATTGGAAAGGTTGAAAAAATTAAATAACAATATTTTGAAAAATGAGTAAAAAGTTAAAAGAATTTAAATATATTTTGAACATAATTTCCAATAAAAAGTTAAAAATATAGCACACCACTTCACACACACATCATTAATCCATAATTAAAATGCCTAAATAAAAATATCTTCAGCTGCCAGTGTAAAGAGAGCAGGGAGACAACCAAATTTCTTTCAGAAGGGTGGTTCACTGAGAAGTGTACATTTTACCCAATGTACCTGAAAAACTGATGGAGTGGTTTTAAAAACCCCTCCTTTACAGATGTTAAAGCTGCCACTGGCTTGTAAAGGGAGAGTGAGTCTCTAGACCCAAACTTGGGTGAGGCTTTGAAGGTCAAAGCCAGCACTTAATTTGGCCTGGAAAAAGACTGGAAGCCAACATGTTTCAACAGGAGAATCCTATCATGGTAACCAGCACTGATCAAAAGCCTGGCTGCAGTGTTTTAGACCTGAAGTTTCTCAAGTTTCCAAAGGCAGGCTCATATACAGTAGATAGTCCAAGCAAAGTGCATCAAGGTTTGTGTTGAATCTGAATTCTCAAGAAATGAGTTTCGCTTGCACGCTAGTTATAACTACAAATGCACTCCTGGGCATCTAGGCTCAGATCTCGAGTTCTTGCCAAAGCTGTGAACCTGAGATTTCAGGGAGAGTGTAACTCCATCAAGCACTGCCCAAATCCATCTTGTTTCAGTAGTGTTTTCCATAGAGGAGAGTGACTGAGCCCAAAAGTTGAAAGCTTTTTCTAGAGATAATTATGGTAGTAAAAACTGGCAAATTAAGGTGAAATCCAGGAAGCAACAACTTACTCATTATGCTGAATTGCTTGTTTCTGAACAGAATCTTAATTTGATATTGATTGCCTCATTAGGTACTGAGCAAAATTTAAACAACATAGAAGATTTAGGATATTTGGAATTTTTAAAATAAAATAACTCAAACATAATTAGCTGAACCAGTTTGTTAGTTAGTGTTGGGGTAGCCAGCTGTAAATTGTAATAATGACATTATTACTATTTACAGCTGGCTACCCCAATACTAACTAACAAACTGGTTCAGCCAATTATGTTTGAGTTATTTTATTTTAAAAATTCCAAATATCCTAAATCTTCTATGTTGTTTAAATTTTGCTCAGTACCTAATTGGATTCATGCCAGAAATTGAATCTAATTCATCTGGTTGTTGTATGCCTTAAAGCCATTTCCAATTTATGGTGACACTAAAATAAAATCATCATAAGCGTTTCTTGGTAAGATTTGTTCAGAAGAGTCTGCCCTTCCTCTTAGATTAGTTGTTCTCATTAGTAAACCGGCTGGGATTTCTCGGAGATGTAGTCCAAACACCTGATGAACCACAGGTTATGAACCACAGACTTAGGCTGAGATAATATCACATGCCTACGGTCACCCAGTGGGTTATTATGGCTGAGCAGTTTTCAGTTGTGTTCTTCAGGGTCATACTCCAGCGCTCAAACTACTAAACAATGCTGTAGCAACAGTCAAAAGTGAAAACTAAGAAAGGGTTTTTATGTTTATCCAAGTGGTAGTGAGTATGCAGTAAAGCTTTTATTTGCTATATAATAAGTAAAAGTTATAGAAAGCTATATGGAAATATTTTATCAGGGCTTTCTGCATTAGGATATAGCAAACCACTTCCATGTAAAAGCATGAAGGACATTTCTTAGGTCAGTGATAATTATATTTATACTTAATTTTTATGTTGTCTTCATGTTGCTCTCAGGTAGCACAGAAGTATTAGGTTATATATAATATGATGTTGATTTTCCTAGTACTAACAGAAAGGATAGCTGATCCCTGCTGAAAGCAGCTTACAGACACGCTACAAAGAAATTTGTGATATGCAAGCACCTGCTTTTGGAAGCTATAAACCTATGCATATTTAATAAAGAAAATACCTTGCAGGAATCCAGGAAATTGCTTCTGATTAGTATTCTAAGAATAAATTGTCAGAGTAGTACCACTGAAATTAATTCATCTGGTCCCATTAAATAAAAAAAACAACTAAGTTTAAATAAATAACAATGGTTGTAGAATATGCCGTTTCAACATGCGCGCCTTATCTATGATACATCACAAATACCATTAAAGCACTAATCTGATGCTTGAGAAATTTTAATCTGAAGTTTATGTGGGCTAGAGAATTCATATGGCGATAGTTTATCTGTAGAACTTCTCAAATGTATTTATGAAATCATTTCTACAAAACTACTTATTAGTTCATCAGTCTTGTACAGGAAATCTTGTATTTGCACCAACACATAAAATAGAAAGGAATAGTTAATTTTGTAAGGCTGCATTCCTCTGTGTACGTACACCTGAGTAAACTTGCAGTAAGATTTTTTTTTTGCTATAAACATCTTACAAGAATCTAAGCACAAAATACCAGCAAGAGGCTGAAAGATGCGCAATAAGAATATGTCTATTAAAGAGTAAATATTATCTAGCAGTTTCACCAGTTTATGGTTAGGAGTTGAATAGGCTTTGTAGGTATGTCCTGAGGACATTGGTGTGTATTTGGGAATTGTTTTTGCTTTTCCTCTGAACCTCAGAGCTTTCATGATCTTTCATAAATTACTTTTTTAAACTGTCAAACTGCTTTTTGCAACTAAGGAGTCTTTCAGAAGCATTCTGACAGTTGTCATGATGAAATAGTAAGCAGAAGTGTTACGTATTTAAGAAAGATAAGCACAAGGACATGCTGGCTGTGAGAATCCAATTTTGCCATTCGTTGGATCTCAGTCTGCATTGCAGTGGTTTGAGTGAATAAATTGCATGTCAGTATATATGATATTATTTGCACTAAACAATGTAATTCCACCAAAATAGTTCTACTTATCCAGGAATTGTATTTTAAGTAAATATAATACATGGCATGACCTAATGAACATTAATGAAATATATGCGATTATCATTTATTAATCACTTGAACTATTTGCTAACCTAAATATTACTATAATGCAAATTATTTTCCACCACAAATGCCAATGTTAATGTAACTAGTATTTTTTTCAGACTGCTCTACCACATATACACAGGAGATAATGGGAACACTTGATCAAGCTTTCCCTGTTGTAACAAATGTCACTTTATTTGTAAACATAACTAGTATTATCCTGAAGAGAGAGAACATCTTTAAAGAAATGCAATTTTATCATATAAGACAGAAAAAATATACTTAAAATACATAAAAAATTAATGTAGAAAAAAAAGAGTACGTACTGTGACAAGGGGTACATCTACACTAGAAAGAACCCATTTTAACTTTCATGGCTATCCTGAAAATACCTCACAACTCTTGTCTTTATGCTTTGTCGTTGGGTAAAGAATCCTGTTCTCTTTACATCAGTATGGTTAATTCCCAGGATTTCGTCTAGGAATTTTGGTGGCATTTACAGTGGACACAAAAATGAAGAAATTTGCTAGGGAAAAAAAAAATCAAAGCTTCCAATGTTTTTCCCCAGTAGTTTTAAAACAGGCAGTCTGGGGACAGAAAAGTATAGGATTCCAAATATTTGTTCCATGCTTGAAGTAATTGACTATCAGAACAAAACTTTATAGCAAGTCTGAAAAACGTATATACTTGGATACTTTTTAAACAAGATCTGGTCCAATGTTCCAGGTATAAGCAAGCAAAGCTTCCAAGATCGACTTCGTTTTGCCTTAGGAACCCAAGGTATAACCACCACAGATTGGTGGAAAACATTATTTGAATTGGGATCTCTGAACCCAGAATTTGTTTTGAGTATTAGAACTGGACAAAGTTTGCAGTCCTTGTAACACCAGACTCTTTAACAGTACAAGAAGAGAGGATCAAATCTGGGTCATTGTGTTACAGAAGTTGTTAAAGAGTTGGGTGCAGGAATGGACAAACCTACAAGATTTCGTTTCTCCATTTCGATTTTTATAATCTTGACTTCTTTTTACTCAATCTATGAAAATATTTGTAAATGTAGTACTGAACCAAATGAAAGCCTCACTCAAACCAAAGTAAGGATACAGTTGTTCCCAATATGGAGCATATCATGTTGTATTTATTTGCCATATAATTAGTGAGGGGACTACCAAGAAAGATGATGACCCTAGCACAAATATGGGTGAATCCATAAAAATTAAAAGCCATCTTTTAAAGATGGAAATGCACAAAGTCTTTTCCTGGGCAGTTTTCTTCCACAATTCTTTTCATCAAATCTGCGTAGAACCCTGCAAAATTTGGATCTCTGACCATTATATGAATCAAAATAAATTCTCAATGATCCATACTGGAGAATAATAAATCTTCAATCTATTGCAAATTAAAACAGGTCTGTCATTTTACCTTCTCCCCATATTTCCATTCTTGTCTCTGCAAAAAGAAAAGCAAGGCTTAACATTTATTTGCCTGCTTTTCTCCCAATATGGGAACCAAAGAAGCTTACAATGCCAGTAATAATATTTGGATATTTCTTTAATGTGTTAGTCCCTTGTGAAACAATGAGGAGGTAATAGTGTTTCCTTTCTAGAGAAAAAAAAAACCAGATCAATATATTGTGGCACTTGAAAGACAAACATGATTTATTTGGCTATAATGGTTCACTGACTACTTTTCTACATTAGCCTTGCATCTGATGGAAGTAGTTGAAGTCCACAAAAGCTTGTAGCAATAAAGGTATCACAAGATTGTGTTGTCATTATGTTGAAGAACATTAGCAATGGTAATAGGAGCACTGGAATGTTTTTTAATTTGCATAATAAAGCCACTGAACACCTGAATTTACGTTTTATACTTCTGGTGTATCTCGTCTTATAAAAACCACCTTTATGCATTTTAATGTCGCAGTTTTCTATACAATGCAGAA